ATACATGATACATATATGATACAGGCCATACATACATGATACAGACCATACATACATGATACAGACATGATACATACATGATACAGGCCATACATACATGATACAGACCATACATACATGATACATACATGATACATACATGATACAGACCATACATACATGATACAGACCATACATACATGATACAGACCATACATACATTATACATACATGATACATGCATGATACAGACCATACATACATGATACAGACCATACATACATGATACAGACCATACATACATGATACATACATGATACAGACCATACATACATGATACAGACCATACATACATGATACAGACATGATACAGACATGATACAGACATGATACAGACCATACATACATGATACATACATGATACAGACCATACATACATGATACAGACCATACATACATGATACATACATGATACAGACCATACATACATGATACAGACCATACAGACATGATACAGACCATACATACATGATACATACATGATACAGACCATACATACATGATACAGACCATACATACATGATACATACATGATACCGACCATACAGACATGATACAGACCATACATACATGATACAGACATGATACATACATGATACAGACCATACATACATGATACATACATGATACAGACCATACATACATGATACAGACCATACATACATGATACAGACATGATACAGACATGATACAGACCATACATGATACATACATGATACAGACCATACAGACATGATACAGACCATACATACATGATACAGACATGATACAGACATGATACAGACCATACATACATGATACATACATGATACAGACCATACATACATGATACATACATGATACAGACCATACATACATGATACAGACCATACATACATGATACAGACCATACATACATATACAGACCATACATACACCATACATACATGATACAGACCATACATACATGATACAGACCATACATACATGATACAGGCCATACATACATGATACAGACCATACATACATGATACAGGCCATACATACATGATACAGACCATACATACATGATACATACATGATACAGACCATACATACATGATACGGACATGATACATACATGATACATACATGATACAGACCATACATACATGATACAGACCATACATACATGATATATACATGATACATACATGATACAGACCATACATACATGATACATACATGATACAGACCATACATACATGATACATACATGATACATACATGATACAGACCATACATACATGATACAGACCATACATACATGATACAGACATGATACAGACCATAAAGACATGATACATACATGATACAGACATGATACAGACCATACATACATGATACAGACCATACATACATGATACAGACCATACAGACATGATACAGACCATACATACATGATACAGACCATACAGACATGATACAGACCATACATACATGATACATACATGATACAGACATGATACAGACCATACATACATGATACAGACCATACATACATGATACAGACCATACAGACATGATACAGGCCATACATACATGATACATACATGATACATGCATGATACAGACCATACATACATGATACAGACCATACATACATGATACAGACCATACATACATGATACAGACCATACAGACATGATACAGGCCATACATACATGATACAGACATGATACAGACATGATACAGACATGATACAGACCATACATACATGATACATACATGATACAGACCATACATACATGATACAGACCATACATACATGATACATACATGATACAGACCATACATACATGATACAGACCATACAGACATGATACAGACCATACATACATGATACAGACCATACATACATGATACATACATGATACAGACCATACATACATGATACAGACCATACATACATGATACATACATGATACCGACCATACAGACATGATACAGACCATACATACATGATACATACATGATACATACATGATACAGACCATACATACATGATACATACATGATACAGACCATACAGACATGATACAGACCATACATACATGATACAGACATGATACATACATGATACAGACCATACATACATGATACATACATGATACAGACCATACAGACATGATACAGACCATACATACATGATACAGACATGATACATACATGATACAGACCATACATACATGATACATACATGATACAGACCATACATACATGATACAGACCATACATACATGATACAGACCATACAGACATGATACAGACCATACATACATGATACAGACCATACATACATGATACAGACCATACAGACATGATACAGACATGATACATACATGATACAGACCATACATACATGATATATACATGATACAGACCATACATACATGATACAGACCATACATACATGATACATACATGATACATACATGATACAGACCATACATACATGATACAGACCATACATACATGATACAGACCATACAGACCTGATACAGGCCATACAAACATGATACAGACATGATACATACATGATACAGACCATACATACATGATACATACATGATACAGACCATACATACATGATACATACATGATACAGATATGATACAGACCATACATACATGATACAGACCATTCATACATGATACATACATGATACAGACCATACAGACATTATACAGACCATACATACATGATACAGACCATACATAAATGATACAGACCATACATACATGATACATACATGATACAGACCATACAGACATGATACAGACCATACATACATGATACAGACATGATACAGACCACATCTTGGTGTCATCATAGTCCTCATAGATTGCTCTAACATATGGTGTATGGCTATATTCTGAAATAAAACTCACATTAATTTATTCAACATAAAAAAATATTAATATGAATGTCTCACAAACTACCCTTTTTGATGTTGTTCATTTTAAGACATATTGTTTGGAACAGTACATCACAATTACCAGAGTGGGCTCTGCTAATTCTAACATTACCAGAGTGGGCTCTGCTAATTCTAACATTACCGGAGTGGGCTCTGCTAATTCTAACATTACCAGAGTGGGCTCTGCTAATTCTAACATTACCAGAGTGGGCTCTGCTAATTCTAACATTACCAGAGTGGGCTTTTTATGAGCACCACCAACACAGTGAATGGTAAAAGGATTCAAAGGGAACTCCCTCTGCTGGTGATTTGCTGAATGTGCAATCCTAAAGGAGAACTGTGATTGGTTACTGACATATTTTACATTTACATTTTAGTCATTTAGCAGACGCTCTTATCCAGAGCGACTTACAGGAGCAATTAGGGTTAAGTGCCTTGCTCAAGGGCACATTTACGTCATTTAGCAGACGCTCTTATCCAGAGCGACTCACAAATTGGTGCGTTCACCCTATAGCCAGTGGGATAACCACTTTACAATTTTTGGGGGGGGGGGGGGGGGGTAGAAGGATTACTTTATCCTATCCCAGGTATTCCTTAAAGAGGTGGGGTTTCAAATGTCTCCGGAAGGTGGTGAGTGACTCCGCTGTCCTGGCGTCGTGAGGGAGCTTGTTCCACCATTGGGGTGCCAGAGCAGCGAACAGTTTTGACTGGGCTGAGCGGGAACTATGCTTCCGCAGAGGAAGGGGAGCCAGCAGGCCAGAGGTGGATGAACGCAATGCCCTCGTTTGGGTGTAGGGACTGATCAGAGCCCGAAGGCATATAATTAAAAGACATATCATTAAAAGTACCAGAGACCCCCCTCTGGAAATGTGATGTGTTTGAAAAATATATTGTTCCAAACAATATGTCTAAAAATAAGCACAATCAAAAAGGGCAGTTTTGAGATATTCATATTAATATTTCTTATGTTGAATAAATGAATGCGACAAAAAAAAAAATCTTCAGAATCAAGACATACTCCATATTTGAGAGCACATTATATGGAATATAACCAAGATGTGGTCTGTATCATGTACTGTTCGTAGGAGGCATGTACAGGTCTAAACTGGGCCTAAAATGGACACTTTCATCATGATTTGTAAAAAAAAAAAAATGGTTTGACTATTAATAGTACATTTTTTGTCATTTAGCAGACGCTCTTATCCAGAGCGACTAGGGTTAAGTGCCTTGCTCAATGGCACATCGACAGATTTTTCACCTAGTCGGCTCGGGGATTAGAACCAGCGACTTTTCGGTTACTGGCGCAACACTCTTACCCACTAAGCTACCTGCTACCACCACCACTGCCACCACCACAACTACCACTACTAGTAGTAGTTTTGGTAGTTTAATTGCTACTGTACATTTCTACATGTTCTATCATACAATCTCTACAATCAGTTGGTAGAGCATGGCGCTTGCAATGCCAGGGTTGTGGGTTCGTTTCCCACGGGGGGCCAGTATGAAAAAATGAATGCACTCACTAACTGTAAGTCGCTCTGGATAAGAGCGTCTGCTAAATGACTAAAATGTAAAATGACATATCAACTCACTAACTAACAAATAACACATTGTCACACCTAAACAACCTGAATTAGACAACTAACTGTGAAGCCTGATAGGAGTTCAAGTTGTTTAAATCCTGTGTCATTATCAACCGGATCAACTCCAGTCTACCTCACTGAGCATGATGTTTCACACACTCCAGTCTACCTAACTGATCATAGGGTTTCAGACACCTCCAGTCTATCTAACTGATCATAGGGTTTCAGACACCTCCAGTCTACCTAACTGATCATAGGGGTTTCAGACACCTCCAGTCTATCTAACTGATCATAGGGGTTTCAGACAGATAGACAGACAGATAGATAGAGCTCAACTATATCTGATGTTTAATGGCCACTTCAACCTCACTGGAAGTTTTCCACCAGCAAGCTTGTTCTTTACACCACGACATGAACTGCCTGGCCTACCTATCTTGAGGTAATTACCCCATCGCTGGAAGGCAGAGGAGGAGGTGGAGGAGGAGGAGGAGGAGGAGGAGGAGGAGGAGGTGGTGTGCGGGAGGCGTTAAGGCTAAACCCAGGCACGGCTAAGACAATAAACCCCATCGACCTCCCATCCTCCCATCCTCCCATCCTCCCATCCTCCCATCCACAGCCCCAATTCTGAGATATTTAACTTGTTTAACTCTATTGGACAGCCACTTCATTGGATTTTATAGCAAAGACATTGCGTGGAGGACTAAGGCGCCGGGGCGCTGCTATAACTTATTGAATTTCCTGCCTGCAATTACATCAGCAAACGGTCCCTCTATTTACCTGTGTAGACAACTCCATTTATTTCTATTGACATGTTGATGCTGCTAATGCCGGCGGTAGACAGGTTCAATGGAGCCTCTTGTCTGTCATCTGCCAGAGGACGAGAGAGAGGAAAACTCAATATGAGCATTTAGAAAGGGAACACAAGGAGCAGGAGAGGAGCGCCTGGGAGAGTATTGGCGATAACTCCTAGAGTGACAGGGTAAGGAGCAGTTTATTAAAGAGTTCTGAGGGAGAGAGAGGGGGGAACTGTCAACAGATGTAGCAGCCATTTGTACATGTCGGTTATCGCCAATGGGTTATCTCCCCGAGGAGACTGTGACATCATATCATAACACACAGACAAGCAGGCACTTGGAGAACTTGGATTGTGTAGCTACTCGCGAAGAACAAGGCTTTGCAACAATCTTCTCCCAAATAAGAACAACATGCAAGAATATTGTAAAGTTTAATTTCTGTAAAATATAATTAATGTGCAGATACATACTAAATATACTGTATCATTTTAGAGTTTAGATCATTTTTTCTTTTAAAACAGCACCACTATTACAGAACATTGTGCAGGCGTCCTCCAGCCTTGGCTGCCATATTTAATAAATCGTTTTGATGTAATCTGTAAATGATGGTGTTTATATGTTGGGTTGCAGCCCAGCCAGACTGGTCGGGTCGGCCAGTGGAGGAATTAACCTGTGAACGATTCTGACTCGTTCTACCATTAAGCGTTTAGAGCAAAGCCCATTATTACAACTAATGCCTGAGAGGCAGTCATGCAGAGAGAGATGAAACCACACCTGAGCAGATAGGTCCCTCATTCTTCCTTTAGGCTCTATTATTATTATTATCCAGTAATGTATGATGACTTATGGCTTGTCGTAAACACCGCCACACTGAGAACCATCAACAGAGTTGGCGGGCGGGGCGACAGCATATATTTTTATATCTAGTATTTTCCCCTGTGGTCATGCAGCAGTAGTACATCTTCATAACATCGGTGAAATCCTCAGACATCACATTGCAGCTGTTATGATGAACTGTGCGTTTAATTGCGGCTCGCCTGTCACATGGTGAAATACTCTTACTTGATGTGTGAATACCACCGCCGTGCTGCACAGCTAAACCCCCAGTTATATAACAGTAGAGGAAGAAACAGTAACACTGTTGGAGGAGAATAAATAACCTGGAGGAAGACTTCCTGTCTGAACTCTGATCCACTCCGAAAATACACAACAACAAAATGTGTCAAAGATATTTATGTGTGTTCTTTTTGTGGCGGTAACACGGCCGCAGATTGAATTGGGTTAGTTGGATATTAAGCAGGACGTGTTACAGAACCCACGGGAATACACAGTAAGGGGTCGTCTCTAAATTACAATACTTTTTCTCCAAATGCTTCTCTGTGGGTTTTGAAATGATTCATGTGTGTGTCGCAGTTATACATCATTATTGCATCAACATTACAGTACTATAGGGGCATAACAATGGATAAACATGTGTTCACATGGTAACTGTGGATGTGTCCGAAGTCACGCCCTATTCCAGGGTTCCCCAATAACTTCTGATCTAAAATTATATATACAGTACCAGTCAAAAGTTTGGACACACCTACTCGTTCCAGGGTTTTTCTTTATTAAAAAAAAAAATATTTTCTACATTGTAGAATAATAGTGAATACATCAAAACTATGAAATAACACATATGGAATCATGTAGTGAACAAAAAAGTGTTAAACAAATACAAATATATTTTATATTTGAGATTCTTCAAACAGCCACCCATTGCCTTGACGACAGCTTTGCACACTATTGGCATTCTCTCAACCAGCTTCACCTGGTATGCTTTTCCAACAGTTTTGAAGGAGTTCCCACATATGCTGAGCACTTGTTGTCTGCTTTTCCTTCACTCTGCGGTCCAACTCATCCCAAACCATCTCAATTGAGTTGAGGTCTCAAATTTGAACTCATCAGACCAAAGGACAGATTTCTACCGGTCAAATCTCCATTGCTCGTGTTTCTTGGCCCAAGCAAGTCTCTTCTTCTTATTGGTGTCCTTTAGTAGTGGTTTCTTTGCAGCAATTCGACCATGAAGGCCTGATTCACGCAGTCTCCTCTGAATAGTTGATGTTGAGATGTGTCTGTTACTTGAACTCTGTGAAGCATTTATTTGTGCTGCAAACTGTGGTGCAGTTAATTGCTGATTTCTGAGTCTGGTAACTCTAATGAGCTTATCCTCTGCAGCAGAGGTAACTCTGGGTCTTCCATTCCTGTAGCGGTCCTCATGAGAACCAGTTTCATCATAGCGCTTGATGGTTTTTGGAACTGCACTTGAAGAAACTTTAAAAGTCCTTGAAATGTTCCGTATTGACTGACCTTCATGTCTTAAAGTAATGATGGACTGTCAATTCTCTTTGTGTATTTGAGCTGTTCTTACCATAATATGGACTTGGTCTTTTACCAAATAGGGCTATTTTCTGTATACCACCCCTATGTCACGGTTTCGGCCGAGGCGGCTCCTTCTCCTCGTTCGGGCAGGCTTCGGCGGTCGTCGTCTCCGGAGTACTAGCTGCCACCGTTCGATGTTTCATGTTTGATTGGTTTTGCCTGTTTGTCACACCTGTTCATTGTTAAGTGTTCATTAGGCACCCTATTTAGTTCTCTTGTGTTTGGTCAGGTGTTGTGTGTAATTGTTCTATGTCACGTGTAGATGTTGGTCCGCTGTTCTATGCTCTCTGTATTTCGTTTTGTTTAAGAGAGTCCTGCACGTTGTGCGTATGTACTTTGGACTGTTCCAGTGTACGCTTGTTTCGCCTGTGGCCTGTTGCCGTGTTGGCTTGTACTGTCGGACTTCACTAAAACATTTGTTTTTTTAATCTCTGTGTCCTGCGTGTGATTCCACGTTCCCTCTACACTCAACCCTGACACCCTACCTTGTTAAAAATAAAGAAAAACCCTGGAATGATTAGATGTGTCCAAACTTTTGACTGGTACAGTATATATATACTTTTTGTTATTGGACATAAAAGACTGTAAAATTACCAAGAAATCAGCTCAACATGATTTTAACTTAGGACATACATTCCCAAGTATTCCAATGCATTAATAGAGAGGCAGTGTAATCAAGATTTGAAATGATTCTGTTTTTGTTGAATACTATACAGTGCCTTCAAAAAGTATTCATAAACCTTGACTTATTCCACATTTTGTTGTGTTACTGCCTGAATTGAAAACGGATTAAATCGTTTTTTTGTATTCACCCATCTACACACAATAGTCCTTAATGACAAAGTGAAAACATGTTTTTAGAAATCTTTGCAAATATATAGAAAATTAAATACAGAAATATTTCATTTACATAAGTATTCACACCACTGAGTCAATACATGTTAGAATCACCTTTGGCAGTGATTACAGCTCTGAGTCTTTCTAGGCAAGACTCTAAGAGCTTTGCAGACCTGGATTGTACAATATTTTCACATTATTCTTTTTTAATTCTTCAAGCTCTGTCATGTGGGTTGTTGATCAGTGCTAGACAGCCATTTTCAAGTCTTGCCATAGATTTTCAAGCCAGTTTAAGTCAAAACTGTAACTAGGCCACTCAGGAATATTCAATGTCGTTTTGGTAAGCAACTCCAGTGTATATTTGGCCTTGTGTTTTTGGATATTGTCCTGCTGAAAGGTGAATTCATCTCCCAGTGTCTGGTGGAGAGCAGACTGAACCAGGTTTTCCTCTAGGATTTTGCCTGTGTTTAGCTGTATTCCGTTTCTTTTTATCATAAAAAACTCCCCAGTCCTTGCCGATGACAAGCAGACCCATAACATGAGGCAGCTACCACCATGCTTGAAAATATGAAGAGTGGTACTCAGTGATGTGCCCCAAACATAACACTTTCTACTCAGGACATAACATTCGTTTCTTTGCCACATTTGTTGCAGTTTTACTTTAGTGTCTTATTGCATAAAGGAATATGTTTATTCTGTACAGGATTCCTTCTTTTCACTCTGTCATTTAGTTTAGTATTGTGGAGTAACTACAATGTTGTTGATCCATCCTCACTTTTCTCCTATCACAGCCATGAAACTCTGTAACCATTTTAAAGTCACCATTGGCCTCATGGTGAAATCCCTGAGCTGTTTCCTTCCTCTCCGGCAACTAAGTTAGGAAGGATGCCTGTGTCTTTATAGTGACTGGGTGTGTTGATAACCATCCAAAATGTAATAATTAACTTCACCATTCTCTAAGTGATATGTAATGTATGCTTTTTTATTTTTACCCATCTACCAATAGGTGCCCTTCTTTGTGAGGCATTGGAAAACCTCCCTGGTCTTTGTGGTTGAATCTGTGCTGGAAATTCACAGCTCGACTGAGGGACCTTACAGATAATTGTATGTGCGGGGTGCAGAGATGAGGTAGTCATTCAAAAAATCATGTTAAACACTATTATTGCAGACAGAGTGAGTCCATGCAACTTACAGTATTATGTGACTTGTTGAGCACATTTTTACTCCTAAACCTATTTAGGCTTGCCATAACAAAGGGGTTGAATACTTATTGACTCAAGACCTTTCAGCTTTTCATTTTATATTAAGTTTGTAAACATTTCTAAAAACATAATTCCACTTTGACATTTTGGGGTATGGTGTGTAGGCCAGTGACACACATTCTCAATTTAATCCATTTTAAATTCAGGCTGTAACACAACAAAATGTGGAAAAAGTCGAGGGGTGTGAATCCTTTCTGAAGGCGCTGTATCTGTTTGGGGTGTGAATCCTTTCTGAAGGCACTGTATCTGTTTGGGGTGTGAATCCTTTCTGAAGGCGCTGTATCTGTTTGGGGTGTGAATCCTTTCTGAAGGCACTGTATCTGTTTGGGGTGTGAATCCTTTCTGAAGGCACTGTATCTGTTTGGGGTGTGAATCCTTTCTGAAGGCACTGTATCTGTTTGGGGTGTGAATCCTTTCTGAAGGCACTGTATCTGTTTGGGGTGTGAATCCTTTCTGAAGGCACTGTATGTGTTTGGGGTGTGAATCCTTTCTGAAGGCACTGTATCTGTTTGGGGTGTGAATCCTTTCTGAAGGCACTGTAACTGTTTGGGGTGTGAATCCTTTCTGAAGGCACTGTATCTGTTTGGGGTGTGAATCCTTTCTGAAGGCGCTGTATCTGTTTGGGGTGTGAATCCTTTCTGATGGCACTGTATCTGTTTGGGGTGTGAATCCTTTCTGAAGGCACTGTATCTGTTTGGGGTGTGAATCCTTTCTGAAGGCCCTGTATCTGTTTGGGGTTCTGAAGGCCACTGGCCATCCCTGTATCTGTTCGGGGTTCTGAAGGCCACTGGCCATCCCTGTATCTGTTTGGGGTTCTGAAGGCCACTGGCCATCCCTGTATCTGTTTGGGGTTCTGAAGGCCCTGGCCATCCCTGTATCTGATTGGGGTTCTGAAGGCCACTGGCCATCCCTGTATCTGTTTGGGGTTCTGAAGGCCCTGGCCATCCCTGTATCTGTTTGGGGTTCTGAAGGCCCTGGCCATCCCTGTATCTGTTTGGGGTTCTGAAGGCCCTGGCCATCCCTGTATCTGTTTGGGGTTCTGAAGGCCCTGGCCATCCCTGTATCTGTTTGGGGTTCTGAAGGCCACTGGCCATCCCTGTATCTGTTTGGGGTTCTGAAGGCCCTGGCCATCCCTGTATCTGTTTGGGGTTCTGAAGGCCACTGGCCATCCCTGTATCTGTTTGGGGTTCTGAAGGCCCTGGCCATCCCTGTATCTGTTTGGGGTTCTGAAGGCCGCTGGCCATCCCTGTATCTGATTGGGGTTCTGAAGGCCCTGGCCATCCCTGTATCTGTTTGGGGTTCTGAAGGCCCTGGCCATCCCTGTATCTGTTTGGGGTTCTGAAGGCCCTGGCCATCCCTGTATCTGTTTGGGGTTCTGAAGGCCCTGGCCATCCCTGTATATGTTTGGGGTTCTGAAGGCCCCTGGCCATCCCTGTATCTGTTTGGGGTTCTTGCAGTGTTATTTATTATTTAGAACTATGTTCCTGCCTCCCGACCAATCGTCTCACAGCTGAACGAAATTGGGAGCCCTGCCCTGTTCCCTATAGGCTCTGGTCAAAAGTAGTGTATTATGTAGAGAATCATTTCAACCTGTATTCATTAATAACAGATACATATGTGTATGTATACTCATTTTTGTGTTGATTTGTCAAAGAAGTATATAGGAAGTATGGTGCCATTTCAGACCAATTATGTATCTAAACCCTGGATTGCTGATGCTATGTATTGGCCATTGAGAGATTTTGAAGCCGCCGGTCGGCCATATTGGCACTCCCCAGTAGGAGCAGTCTACCATAGGAATTAATGGAATTCTACAATATTTCAATTAAATGTTTCAAGAACAAAATGTTTTAAAAAATTGTAGTGGGGACAATAACATTCTCTCAAAAATGTTTTATTTAAGGAAATTGTTTTTATTATTATTATTATTTATTTTTGTCATTTAGCAGACACTCTTATCCAGAGCGACTTACAGGAGCAATTAGGGTTAAGTGCCTTGCTCAAGGGCACATCGACAGATTTTTCACCTTGTCGGCTCGGGGATTAGAACCAGCGACCTTTCGGTTACTGGCACAACGCTCTTACCCACTAAGCTACCTGCCACCCATATTTTTTATATGTGTATTTTTTATGTTTAGCTCACGTAATATAATTTAAAAGATGCATTAAAGGTGTCTGTAATAGAATAAACGTGACAAAAATGAATGTCGACATTAATAAATGCATTTCTACAGCCTCCAAAAGCCGTTTTTTACAACGTCGGTCATCCAGGGTTTTATACACATTGTTTCAGACACATCCTGTACTCATAATAACAGATAAGCATAAGTCTACATTAATAAGGTAACTGTGGTGACAAACATGTTTTAGTAACGGTGTCTGTGTTAATAGCACCCTAAGTAGTGCACTCTGTAGCAGAATAGGGTGTCATTCCATACACAGCCTGTTATCCAGAGTAACAACATGAGTACGTTTAGCATTGGTTTACCTCTCATCCGCTCAGTTCGGTCGTTGATCTTGATGTTCATGGGTAGCTGCGTTGCCATGGCGAGGAGGTTCTGCTGCAGCGCATGCTGCATGAGCCTCTGTTGCTCCATCATCATCATCTTCTTCTTCTCTGGCGGCTCCCCGCTCTCCAGCTTCTCCCTCAGCTGCTCCAACGCTGCAGCCTGCGCCGCCTGAGCCGCCACGACTTGGGGGTGCCCTCCCATAGACATTGGCGTCCCCCCCACACGACCCGACAGACAGCCTGCCATCAGGCCATCCTCTGGGATAAACAGAGAGAAGAATGTATTTGTTTATTTTACCTTTATTTTACCAGGTTAGTCTCATTGAGATTTTTTTAAAAATCACTTTTTCAAGAGAGCGTTTTAAAGAAGAATACTTCATAGTTTATTGTCCATTTTATTTGATTCAGATCTCGGGAAATGTGTCTTTTGCTTTGAACCCAATCCCTGAGAAAAAAGGGTGGGCATTCTGTAGGTTGCTGTAGGCATTTATATGGTCAGGAAGTTCTTATGGTTGGCCGTACAGGTGTTTTCTCAGGCAGTGGTAAATCCTATGCCTTGAAATGCTCGGTTTGATATTCAAACTTTGTGGGAAATAACAGCATGAGCAGCCAAATTACGAGAGGAGATTTTTTTACACGGAATTCAAATTTCCTGAGCATTGTGTCTTCACTTCCTGTGTCATTAAATTCACCAGCCAGGTCATGGACACGTCTTTTTCCTCTTTCAAATCAGTGAGCAACAAACAACACCATCCCTATTGTAGCCTGGGTGCCAGTCTGATGCAGGAATGAATCCCACACAACACCACAACATTTCCTTTTTTTGTATATATAACGCCATTAAGTGAGCCTGGAATGGACCAACCACAGCCATTTTAAGCGACTATATCTGATCTTGTTGATGGATCTTTACAGCTCTGAAACCTCTACCTCTACCACAACCGCAGCACGGCAGCCTCTTCCTGGTCACATGACATGTGTCTCACCTTTCTTGATGTTGTATCCCCGGGTCAGGTGTTCTCCGCTGTAGGTGGACATGGCCAGGTGAGGCATGCTCATCTTGGGGGAGGAGAGGATGGAGGGGGTCCCTGCTGGAGAGTAGTTAAAGATGGCCGACCCGTAGCTCTGGCGACGCCCCTCGCGGCGGTTACTGTCGATAGCTGCCTGGAGCTCTCCGGGGGAGCTCAGACCCCTCTTTTCACATTCGTAAGGGTAGAGGTACTTCATATACCTGTAGGAAGGAAACGGGGACAGGACATTTCACAATGTTTTTAATTCCTCATGAAGGAGAGGTTTTACTCCAAGAGGCTGCCATGATTCTTGTGTCATCCTGGGTGTCGACAAGGTTACATTATGTAATTTATTACAGGTGGTGACTGTTAACAGCCAACCTATAAAACATTCAGGGCTCTATTTTTGGCTGGTGTTAAGCCAGCTCAATTGTCAAATGAATGCTCGTTTACAATTTCGATCGGTTAAATCCAGCGCTCTTCTGTTTTCAAACCCTAGCTCCAGGATTGGTAATTTACCTGTCTTATATGAGCTCGCTTGCGCTGAGGTGGGAGAGGTGGCAATATCTGAGGTGTGTCCTTAAAAACGTGAGCCAAAGTGCCAATTTCAGTATGCACCGTTGGGGACATTTAAGACCAACCGAAAATGGGTCTTAGCGGTAACATTTGTATTTGTATTTTTATGGATCCCCATTAGCTGCTGCCACGGACACTTCCTGGGGTCCAGCAAAAGTAAGGCAGTTTATACAATTTTAAAAACATCACAATACATTCACAACAGATAATCCATGTGTACGTGTGTGTATAGTGCGTCTGTTATCATGTGTGTGTGTATGCATGTGCCTATGTTTGTGTTGCTTCACAGTCCCCGCTGTTCCGTAAAGTGTATTTTTTATCTGTTTTCTAAATCTGATTCTACTGCTTGCGTTAGTTACTTGATGTGGAATAGAGTTCCATGTAGTTATGGCTCTATGTAGTACTGTGCGCCTCCCATAGTCTGTTCTGGACTTGGGGACTGTGAAGAGACCTCTGGTGGCATGTCTTGTGGGGTATGCATGGGTGTCTGAAATGTGCGCAAGTAGTTCAAACAGACAGCTCGGTGCATTCAACATGTCAATACTTCTCACAAATACAAGTAGTGATGAAGTCAATCTCTCCTCCACTTTGAGCCAGGAGAGATTGACATGCATATTATTAATGTTAGATCTCTGTGTACATCCAAGGGCCAGCCGTGCTGCCCTGTTCTGAGCCAATTGCAATTTTCCTAAGTCCCTCTTTGTGGCACCTGACCACACGACTGAACAGTAGTCCAGGTGTGACAAAACTAGGGCCTGTAGGACCTGCCTTGTTGATAGTGATGTTAATAAGGCAGAGCAGCGCTTTATTATGGACAGACTTCTCCCCAGTTTACAATCCAGGGTTACTCCAAACAGTTTAGTCACCTAAACTTGCTAAATTTCCACATTATTCATTACAAGATTTAGTTGAGGTTTATGGTTTAGTGAATGATTTGACCCAAATACAATGCTTTTAGTTTTTTAAATATTTAGCACTAACTTATTCCTTGCCACCCATTCTGAAACTAAATGCAGCTCTTTGTTAAGTGTTGAAGTCATTTCAGTCTCTGTAGTAGCTGACATTTGTATAGTGTTGAGTCATCCGCATACATAGACACACTGGCTTGACTCAAAGCATGTCGTTAGTAAAGATTGAAAAAAGTAAGGGTCCAAGACAGCTGCCTTTGGGAATTCCTGATTCTACCTGGATTATGTTTGAGAGGCTTCCATAAAAAAATACCCTCTGTGTTCTGTTAGACAGGTAACTCTTTATCCACAATATAGCAGGGGTGTAAAGCCATAACACATACTTTTTTCCAGCAGCAATGATCGATAATTTCAAAAGCCGCACTGAAGTCTAACAAAACAGCCCCCACAATCTTTTAATCATCAATTTCTCTCAGACAATCATTAGTCATTTCTGTAAGTGCTGTGCTGTGCTTCTTGAATGTCCTTCCCTATAAGCGTGTCAATTTCTGTACTGTAAAATAGCATTGTATCTGGTCAAACACCATAAAAATAAAAGACTTTACTACAGGTTGGTAACAGGCTGATTGGTCGGCTATTTGAGCCAGTAAAGGGGGCTTTAATATTCTTAGGTAGCAGAATGACTTTTGCTTCCCTCCAGGCCTGAGGGCACACTATTTCTAGTAGGCTTAAATTGAAGATATGGCAAATAGGAGTGGCAATATCGTCAGCTATTATCCTCAGTAATTTTCCATCCAAGTTGTCAGACCCCGGTGGCTTGTCATTGTTGATAGACAACAATAATTTACATTTTAGTCATTTAGCAGATACTCTTATCCAGAGTGACATACATGTATTATTATTATTATTATTATTTATTTAATTCATACTGCCCCCCCATGGGAATTGAACCCACAACCCTGGTGTTGCAAACACCATGCTCTACCAACTGAGCTACACGTCCGCTATTATCCACAGTAATTTTCCATCCAGTAAAAAATCATTAAAGTAGTTGGCAATATCAGTGTGTTTTGTGATGAATCTGATTCAATGAATGATGGAGCTGAGTTTGCATTTTTCCCCAAAATTACATTTAAGGTGCTCCAAAGCTTTTTACTATCATTCTTTATATAATTTATCTTTGTTTCATAGTATAGTTTCTTCTTTTTTTTTTATTCAGTGTAGTCACATGATTTCTCAATTTGCAGTACTTTTGCCTCATCCCTCTCAACCATACCATTTAAAAATAATAATAATAATATGCCATTTAGCAGACGCTTTTATCCAAAGCGACTTACAGTCATGTGCGCATACATTTTTACATATGGGTGGTCCCGGGGATCAAACCCACTACCCCGGCGTTACAAGCGCCATGCTCTACCAATTGAGCTACAGAGGACCACAAATTCCTCATCAATCCACAGGGATTTAACAGTTTTTACTGTAATTTTCTTAATGGGTGCATGCTTTTTAGTAACTGGAATAAGCAATTTCATAAATGTGTAAAGTGGCTGCTCCTCAGACCAGCAAATATTATTTACATCATCAATGGGCTTTAGGTTGATGAAAGCCAGTCAATATTTAAATCACCCAGAAAGTATACATCTCTGTTGATATCACATACATTATCAAGCATTTCACACATATTATCCAGATACTGACTGTTAGCACTTGGTGGTCTATAGCAGCTTCCCACCAGAATGGGCTCTAGGTGAGGCAGATGAACCTGTAGCCATATTACTTCAACAGTATTTAACATGAGATCCTCTCTAAGCTTTACAGGAATGTGGTTCTGAATATAAAGAGCAACACCTCCACCATTGGCATTTCTGTATTTTCTGTAGATGTTATAACCATGTATTGCTACCACTGTATCATCAAAGTTATTATCTAAGTGAGTTTCAGAGATAGTCAGAATATGAATGTCATCTGTTACTAGCAAGTCATTGACTTAATAAACCTTGTTTCACTTTTCTGGGACGCTTGATTGTTTTCATTGCTTTACTGGGAAGCTTAGCAGAAGTAGACATGCTCATGTTATTTATGTTAGTGCAGGGTGAGCTGCACACAGTGGACTTCCTACTAGGGCACACCGCCTCAGTGCTAACAACATAAATCTGGTTCTTGGGCACATGATTGCTGCATACAATAGCTGTAGGATCAGCAGAGGCATTCAGGGCAGTTAGAGGGACATACAGTGCATTCGCAAAGTATTCAGACCCCTTGACTTTTTCCACATTTTGTTACGTTACAGCCTTATTCTCAATTTGATTAAATTGTTTTTTCCCCTCATCAATCTACACACAATACCCCATAATAACAAAGCATTTTTGCAAATTTATAAAAAATTAAACACTGAAATATAACATTTACATAAGTATTCAGACCCTTTACTCAGTAATTTGTTGAAGCACCTTTGGCAGTGATTACAGCCTTGAGTCTTCCTGGGTATGACGCTACAAGCTTGGCACACCTGTATTTGGGGAGTTTCTCCCATTCTTCTCTGCAGATCCTCTCAATCTCTGTCAGGTTGGATGAGGAGCTTCGCTGCACAGCTATTTCCAGGTCTCTCAAGAGATGTTCGAACAGGTTCAAGTTCGGGCTCTGGCTGGGCCACTCAAGGACATTCAGAGACTTGTCCCGAAGCCACTACTGCGTTGTGTTGGCTGTGTGCTTAGGGTCGTTGACCTGTTGGAAGGGAACCTTCGCCCCAGTCTCAGGTCCTGAGCGCTCTGGAACAGGTTTTCATCAAGGATGTCTCTGTACTTTGCTCCGTTCATCTTTCCCATTCCCTGCCATCTGAATAACATCCCCATAGCATGATGCTACCACCACCATACTTCACCGTAGGGATGGTGCCATGTTTCCTCCATACGTGACGCTTGGCATTCAATTCAAAGAGTTCATGGTCTGAAAGTCCTTTAGGTGCCTTTTGGCAAACTCCTAGTGGGCTCTCATGTGCCTTTTACTGAGGAGTGGCTTCTGTCTGGCCACTCTACCATGAAGGCCTGATTGGTTGCGTGCTGCAGAGATGGTTGTCCTTCTGGAAGGTTCTCTCATCTTCACAGAGGACCTCTGGAGCTCTGTCAGAGTTACCATCGGGTTCTTGGTCACCTCCCTGACCAAGGCCCTTCTCCCCTGAGTCTTGGTGATTCCAAACTTCTTCCATTTAAGAATGATGGAGGCCACTGTGTTCTTCGGGATCTTCAATGCTGCAGAAATGTTTTGATAACCTTCCCCAGATCTGTGCCTCGACACAATCCTGTCTCGGAGCTCTACGGACAATTCCTTCGACCTCATGGCTTGGTTTTTGCTCTGACAAGCACTGTCAACTGTGGGACCTTATATAGACAGGTGTGTGCCTTTCCAAATCATGTCCAATCAATTGAATTCACCACAGGTAAATTAGATAAGTTGTAGAAACATCTCAAGGATGATCAATGGAAACAGGATGCACCTGAGCTCAATTCCGAGATACATAACAAAGGGTCTGAATACTTATTTAAATAAGGTATTTATGTTTTTTTAATTTAAATTTTAAATAAATGTGCAAAAGTTTCTAAAAACTTGTTTTCGCTTAGTCATTATGGGGCATTGTGTGTAGATTGATGAGGGGAAAATAGAATGTAATTCAATTTAGAATAAGGCTCTAACGTAACAAAATGTCAAGGGGGTCTGAATACTTTCCCAATGCACTGCATAGCAACAGGCTCTATGCTGTTCTGCACTCCATTGTGGTCAGGACTGTACAGTCGACTCCCCCTCCTACTCCAACTCTATCATTATCATGCATTATCCAGGTTAGGATGGCCGTGATGTTAGTAATGTAGTCACCATCGTAGCAGAATAATGAGTGTTATTGTGCCTGTCAAGTGTCTGCTTAGAGATAATAACAGTAACAGTTTATAAGACGAACAACAGGCTCGGCGTTAGACGACTAAAATATAGAATATCAAGTCCTAACCTTACATAAAATGATGGTTCTGAATCAACTGTAGTGGTCCTCTGTAGCTCAGCTGGTAGAGCATGGCGCTATAGACTACCATATATACCATTCAGCGTGGTCCTCTGGAGCTCAGCGTGGTCCTCTGGAGCTCAGCGTGGTCCTCCGTAGCTCAGCTGGTAGAGCACGGCGCTCGTAACGCCAGGGTGGTGGGGTTCGATCCCCGGGACCACCCCATACGTAAAAAATGTATGCGCACGTGACTGTAAGTCGCTTTGGATAAAAGCGTCTGCTAAATGGCATATTATTATTATTATGTTACATTAATACAGACACATATCTAATCCTATATGTAATCCTATATGTAATCATATACTGTATCTAATCATTTATCTCATATAACACTTGTGGTTCCACCACAGGAGGAGCTCTGTTTTAGTTTTTTTCTGCTCCACTACTGTAGAGACCCTTATCTCTCTGAGACCCCTGCTCCAATACTGCTATAGAGACCCTTATCTCTCTGAGACCCCTGCTCCACTGCTGTAGAGACCCTTATCTCTCTGAGACCCCTGCTCCACTGCTGTAGAGACCCTTATCTCTCTGAGACCCCTGCTCCACTGCTGTAGAGACCCTTATCTCTCTGAGACCCCTGCTCCACTGCTGTAGAGACCCTTATCTCTCTGAGACCCCTGCTCCACTGCTGCTGTAGAGACCCTTATCTCTATGAGACCCCTGCTCCACTGCTGTAGAGACCCTTATCTCTCTGAGACCCCTGCTCCACTGCTGCTATAGAGACCCTTATCTCTCTGAGACCCCTGCTCCACTGCTGTAGAGACCCTTATCTCTCTGAGACCCCTGCTCCACTGCTGTAGATACCCTTATCTCTCTGAGACCCCTGCTCCACTGCTGTAGAGACCCTTATCTCTCTGAGACCCCTGCTCCACTGCTGTAGAGACCCTTATATCTCTGAGACCCCTGCTCCACTGCTGTAGAGACCCTTATCTCTCTGAGACCCCTGCTCCAATGCTGCTGTAGAGACCATTATCTCTCTGAGACCCCTGCTCCACTGCTGTAGAGACCCTTATCTCTCTGAGACCCCTGCTCCACTGCTGCTATAGAGACCCTTATCTCTCTGAGACCCCTGCTCCACTGCTGTAGAGACCCTTATCTCTCTGAGACCCCTGCTCCACTGCTGTAGAGACCCTTATCTCTCTGAGACCCCTGCTCCACTGCTGCTGTAGAGACCCTTATCTCTCTGAGACCCCTGCTCCACTGCTCTAGAGACCCTTATCTCTCTGAGACCCCTGCTCCACTGCTGTAGAGACCCTTATCTCTCTGAGACCCCTGCTCCACTGCTGCTGTAGAGACCCTTATCTCTCTGAGACCCCTGCTCCACTGCTGCTGTAGAGACCCTTATCTCTCTGAGACCCCTGCTCCACTGCTGCTGTAGAGACCCTTATCTCTCTGAGACCCCTGCTCCACTGCTGTAGAGACCCTTATCTCTCTGAGACCCCTGCTCCACTGCTGTAGAGACCCTTATCTCTCTGAGACCCCTGCTCCACTGCTGCTGTAGAGACCCTTATCTCTCTGAGACCCCTGCTCCACTGCTGTAGAGACCCTTATCTCTCTGAGACCCCTGCTCCACTGCTGCTGTAGAGACCCTTATCTCTCTGAGACCCCTGCTCCACTGCTGTAGAGACCCTTATCTCTCTGAGACCCCTGCTCCACTGCTGTAGAGACCCTTATCTCTCTGAGACCCCTGCTCCACTGCTGTAGAGACCCTTATCTCTCTGAGACCCCTGCTCCACTGCTGCTGTAGAGACCCTTATCTCTCTGAGACCCCTGCTCCACTGCTGCTGTAGAGACCCTTATCTCTCTGAGACCCCTGCTCCACTGCTGTAGAGACCCTTATCTCTCTGAGACCCCTGCTCCACTGCTGCTGTAGAGACCCTTATCTCTCTGAGACCCCTGCTCCACTGCTGTAGAGACCCTTATCTCTCTGAGACCCCTGCTCCACTACTGCTATAGAGACCCTTATCTCTCTGAGACCCCTGCTCCACTGCTGTAGAGACCCTTATCTCTCTGAGACCCCTGCTCCACTGCTGTAGAGACCCTTATCTCTCTGAGACCCCTGCTCCACTGCTGCTGTAGAGACCCTTATCTCTCTGAGACCCCTGCTCCACTGCTGTAGAGACCCTTATCTCTCTGAGACCCCTGCTCCACTACTGCTATAGAGACCCTTATCTCTCTGAGACCCCTGCTCCACTGCTGTAGAGACCCTTATCTCTCTGAGACCCCTGTTCCACTACTGCTATAGAGACCCTTATCTCTCTGAGACCCCTGCTCCACTGCTGTAGAGACCCTTATCTCTCTGAGACCCCTGCTCCACTGCTGTAGAGACCCTTATCTCTCTGAGACCCCTGCTCCACTGCTGTAGAGACCCTTATTTATCTGAGACCCCTGCTCCACTGCTGTAGAGACCCTTATCTCTCTGAGACCCCTGCTCCACTGCTGCTGTAGAGACCCTTATCTCTCTGAGACCCCTGCTCCACTGCTGTAGAGACCCTTATCTCTCTGAGACCCCTGCTCCACTACTACTGTAGAGACCCTTATCTCTCTGAGACCCCTGCTCCACTGCTGTAGAGACCCTTATCTCTCTGAGACCCCTGCTCCACTGCTGTAGAGACCCTTATCTCTCTCAGACCCCTGCTCCACTGCTGTAGAGACCCTTATCTCTCTGAGACCCCTGCTCCACTGCTGTAGAGACCCTTATCTCTCTGAGACCCCTGCTCCACTGCTGTAGAGACCCTTATCTCTCTGAGACCCCTGCTCCACTACTACTGTAGAGACCCTTATCTCTCTGAGACCCCTGCTCCACTGCTGTAGAGACCCTTATCTCTCTGAGACCCCTGCTCCACTGCTGTAGAGACCCTTATCTCTCTCAGACCCCTGCTCCACTGCTGTAGAGACCCTTATCTCTCTGAGACCCCTGCTCCACTGCTGTAGAGACCCTTATCTCTCTGAGACCCCTGCTCCACTGCTGTAGAGACCCTTATCTCTCTGAGACCCCTGCTCCACTGCTGTAGGAGCCAAAGGGGAATAAGTCGAGTGATCTGCGATGGCCCTACAGGTTATCAGGTTATTTCAAGTTACCGCCTGCAGTGTTACTCACTGTGTTCGAAGGGTGAAAGCTGCACTGGTGATGGAGGTAGGGAGGTTGAGGCCTTTGGTGATCTCACGCCATATCTTCTTATTGATGACCTCCACTAAGCCGCCTTTGTCTGTGACCAGCTTGTAGAGGGTGTACAGATCCAACACCTGCTTGGCCATGATGGGAATACGATTCACTGGGGTCCCTGCAGAGACAAAACACAATATCCACAATCAATGCTATTAACTTCACTCCATCGATAGAGAAGGGTTTTCCTCGCTAGCTGCGGCTTATAAGGCCAATTTATCTGGAGCCAGTCCAGTGGCTGACAGCTTGGTTAACAAAAACATATTACTTTTTGAAAAACTCCCCCTTGACTTTTTATATACAGCGTTTTATTAAAGGGGCAATCTGTGTTTACTAAATACATTTTTTTTTAAATTTAAATTATTGATATACACCCACTGATTCTTGAAGATTATAATTTATAAATGCCTCATGAGCTTAGTTAACCTGTTGTACCTAGGGTTGCAGTTTATCAAAGTTACCGGAATGCTCAGTAATTATAATATGCCATTTAGCAGACGCTTTTATCCAAAGCGACTTACAGTCATGTGTGCATACATTTCTTTTTTTTTTTGTGTATGGGTGGTCCCGGGGATCGAACCCACTACCTTGGCGTTACAAGCGCCGTGCTCTACCAGCTGAGCTACAGATTAGGTAATTAGGTAATTAACAGAAATTCTATGGCAATCAATAACTTTAAAACAATTTATTCATATATAGTATTCATTTTGTATATCTGTGTCCATATTGTCCATTAGTTTCTAGTAGATAGACCATATGGTTCAAGAGAAAATAGCCTAATTAATGAAAAAATCTACGGAATACAGCACCCTAGAGCGCGTATAGAAATAAAAAATAAAATACAGTCTACATGATGAGATTATTATGGACAAAAGAGCAACATTATTTTAATTTGTCAAACGGCAGCCAAGCATCGATCATCATGTCACCGGAATAAGACCCTGGATATTTATTGGAAAGGAGCATCAAGCTCATCACTTTGCACTTTCACCTGTGAAGTTCATCATTACTTATTTCATCTGTAGCCTAAGAAACTGCATGGTTTCCTGAGTCGTGACTCCAAGTTTACTTCGACATGATGGTTATTATATTCATATTTGCGCATAACAGCATTTCCACCGATATTTTTCACATAATCACTAACCAGGTCTCCATCCAACCTTAAATGTGACTAAAGTACGTCGGATTAAACAGGACAGGCCTGACGGAAATAGACATTTTTTCTATAAACTTTCCAAATGTCGACAAAACAAAATACGCTAGATAAGGTGGGATCTTTTTGTCTTGGTTAAATGAATTATGCGAGAAATGTCAGTGGAAATGTCAGTTAAAAATGTAAATACACCTTTAGCTATGAAATTAACATTACTTTAAACTTTAAACTTATTTTTAAAGAAGCAATCACTGTTCAACCCTAACTTAACTCTGCTAACCTAACCCTGACCCTAACCTTTATTCCACTCTGGTCTTCACTCTGCTAACCTAACCCTGACCCTAACCTTTATTCCACTCTGGTCTTAACTCTGCTAACCTAACCCTGACCCTAACCTTTATTCCACTCTGGTCTTCACTCTGCTAACCTAACCCTGACCCTAACCTTTATTCCACTCTGGTCTTAACTCTGCTAACCTAACCCTGACCCTAACCTTTATTCCACTCTGGTCTTAACTCTGCTAACCTAACCCTGACCCTAACCTTTATTCCACTCTGGTCTTCACTCTGCTAACCTAACCCTGACCCTAACCTTTATTCCACTCTGGTCTTCACTCTGCTATCCTAACCCTGACCCTAACCTTTATTCCACTCTGGTCTTCACTCTGCTAACCTAACCCTGACCCTAACCTTTATTCCACTCAGGTCTTAATTAGCAGGGTATACGGAGGCAGATAATAATTTGTACTGTGCAGTTTAAAGGGTCGGCCGTAAAGAGGGAAGGGTCGTCCCTTTGTGAGCAGCCTGACCCTGAGATAATCAACCTGTATTTTGCTGATAGAGTTCCATTGTGCCCATATAATGGCAATCAATACGTGCAGAAATATATTGCTGCAGCATGCAGCGCAGGGCCATACACTGGAGGAGAGGAGAGGGGGGGAGAGGGGGAGGACAGGAGGGGAGGAGAGGGGGGAGGACAGGAGGGGAGGAGAGGGGGAGGAGAGGGGGAGGAGAGGGGGAGGACAGGGGAGGAGAGGGGGAGGACAGGAGGGGAGGAGAGGGGGAGGAGAGGGGGAGGACAGGAGGAGAGGAGAGGGGGAGGAGAGGGGGAGGACAGGGGGAGGAGGAGTAGAGGGGGAGGACAGGAGGGGAGGAGAGGGGGAGGAGAGGGGGAGGAGAGGAGGGGAGGAGAGGGGGAGGAGAGGGGGAGGACAGGAGGGGAGGAGAGGGGGAGGAGAGGGGGAGGAGAGGAGGGGAGGTGAAGTATCGTCTGAGGAGGTAAAAACACATCAATTAAGGCTGGTAATTATGGGATGGCTTGGCTGGCAGCAGAACCGACCGAGGAGAGAGACAACATTAAAACTAAAGATTTATCCTGTCTCTCAGCCAGGACAATGCTGCCATTATATCTAAAGTAGCACCACCCAAAGCCCATTTATCGCCGCTTCCAACTTCACACTAAACTGTCTATATATCACCGCTGTATTGTGGTGGCCTGGCTGTCTGGCGGAAGCGGTCTCAGGAGGAATGGGGGTGATTCTAAATAATTAAAGAGACTTCTCAAAGGTGAACGGACGTACTTCGATATTCTCTCATAATTAAGATTGAGATGCTTGATTGACTGTAGTCAGATATTCAGCTTGGGGTTACTACAGTAAGTGCTGTTATTGGGTGGTTTCCTAGTAGACGTATGGCAGTGGTGAAAAGATGAACATAAAGAAACCCTCTTGCATACATACTGTACTCCATCCCATTCTCACTGGTGACAATGCACAGCCGTGCCTTGATCTATAAAACTATTATTTATCCGGATCCACAATGGCCAACCCAATGAGGCGCGCCGGGCAATAAATAAAAAGACCTGGCCCCAGAAAGCCTTTGTCTGTTAGAATCTGACCCGACCAAGACAGGCCTCTTAAAACCAGATTTATGTGCTTTCAATACCCGGCGTGATGTATTCGTCTCTCCGATTCCCTGAAAGGGATATGAAGAATAGAAGAGGAGAGGAGGAGAAGAGGGGAAGAGGGGAAGAGGACAGTCTTTTGTCAGCAGAGACGATCCGATCAGCTCATGGATCACGTTGACAATGAGGAACGGCCGGCGGAGGAAAAACACCTCGTATACGACTCCACTAACGGTCTAACGACGGCACGGCAGTCCTCTGGTTAATCACTCACTTGCTAAAAGATTGCAGTGTGTAATTGGAGCTTGCAGAGGGAATCAGGGCTTAGTAGAGCAGAGTAATCATCATCTTTGCGCTCGGCTTCGTCGCTGATGCGTTCAGTTCGCACCTTGCAGCAAGCCGGTAATGGCAGGAGGAGGCGAGAGGAGTTTCTCCTCTTCATTGACTTGGCTCTTTTAACCTGTGAAATGAAGGATTCATGTAATGCAGCTATCAGGAAAACAACTGTTTATCTACATGTGGACAGCCCATCTAATTGGAGTGGCGCTTCAGTAGTTTTTTACATTTAGATTCTCCTGCAGTTCATTTAGCAGACGCTGTTATCCAGAGTGATTTACAATCAGTGCAAACAGCTGACTGATTAGGGAGGACCCATACAGTATGACCCTAGAATACAGTATGACCCTAGAATACAGTATGACCCTAGAATACAGTATGAAACTAGAATACAGTATGACCCTAGAATACAGTATGAAACTAGAATACAGTATGACCCTAGAATACAGTATGACCCTAGAATACAGTATGAAACTAGAATACAGTATGAAACTAGAATACAGTATGAAACTAGAATACAGTATGAAACTAGAATACAGTATGAACCTAGAATACAGTATGAAACTAGAATACAGTATGAAACTAGAATACAGTATGACCCTAGAATACAGTATGACCCTAGAATACAGTATGAAACTAGAATACAGTATGAAACTAGAATACAGTATGAACCTAGAATACAGTATGAAACTAGAATACAGTATGAACCTAGAATACAGTATGAAACTAGAATACAGTATGAAACTAGAATACAGTATGAAACTAGAATACAGTATGAAACTAGAATAGAGTATGACCCTAGAATACAGTATGAACCTAGAATACAGTATGACCCTAGAATACAGTATGAAACTAGAATACAGTATGACCCTAGAATACAGTATGAAACTAGAATACAGTATGACCCTAGAATACAGTATGAAACTAGAATAGAGTATGACCCTAGAATACAGTATGAAACTAGAATAGAGTATGACCCTAGAATACAGTATGAAACTAGAATACAGTATGAAACTAAAATAGAATAGAACTCAATTGTCCAGCCGAAGATGGAAACTGTAGGGATGTTTCCCTGTCTGTCTGTCTGTCTGTCTGTCTGTCTGTCTGTCTGTCTGTCTGTCTGTCTGTCTGTCTGTCTGTCTGTCTGTCTGTCTGTCTGTCTGTCTGTCTGTCTGTCTGTCTGTCTGTCTGTCTGTCTGTCCATGTCTCTATCTCTGTCTGTCTGTCTGTTGTCGTCTGTCTGTCTGTCTGTCTGTCTGTCTGTCTGTCTCTCTGTCTGTCCCTGTCGCTCTGTCTGTCTGTCTGTCTGTCTGTCTGTCTGTCGTCTGTCTGTCCTGTCGTCTCGTTGTCTGTCCTGTCTGTCTGTCTGTCTGTCTCATGTCTGTCTGTCTGTCTGTCTGTCCTCGTCTGTTGTGTCTGCCGCGCTGTCTGTCTGTCTGTTCTGTCTGTTCCCTGTCTTATTCTGTCTGTCTGTCTGTCCCTGTCGTCTGTCTGTCGTCTGTCCTGTTCTGTCTCTGTCTGTCTGTCTGTCTGTCTGTCTGTCTGTCGTGTCTGTCTGTCTGTCTGTCTGTCTGTCTGTCTGTCTCTGTCTGTCTGTCTGTCTGTTTCTGTCTCTGTCTGTCTGTCGTCCTGCTCTGTCGTCTGTCTGTCTGTCTGTCTGTGTCTGTCTGTCTGTCTGTCTGTCTGTCTGTCTGTCTGTCT